CTCTTCAAAAGAGTCTGGAAGCTCTTCCCTCTTTCCTCCTTTTCCTTTCCTTCCCCTTCTGTTGTTTTTTTCTCTCCCTCAAGGAATTCTCCGCCCTCGCCAGGGTAAATTCTCCACTCTTCCCTCTCGCGCACTGCAGACTTGGATTTGTGGAAGGCTCAGGGAATAATCAGACAAAACAGAAAGGGGAAGATCGGAGGACATAAGGACAGGAAAAGGCTGTGCATGCAGGTGTTCCGACATTTGCTACAGGTGTATACGGAGTTCATCTTCACAGTGACCCTCAGAGGCAGGCGATCCCTCAGGGCTGGGGACCTGTGACCTTAAGGCCACATGTGACCTTCTAGGTCCTTAAGTGCAGCCTTTTGATTGAATCCAAATTTTACAGAACAAGTCCTTTTATTAAAAGGGGTGCAGCAGAGAAAGATGAAGTTTTCTTGCCTCTTTTGGTGCTTAGAAAAGAACAATCTTGAACTCAGAAGGCCGCAGGTCCCCCACCCCTGTGCAGGATGGCACAAGGTAAGAGTCTAGTCTAGTACCCTTCTCAGATGGCTGGGCTTCGAAGATAGGACTGTACTTTGCCTCTTCCAAGATTTAAAAAGCAACACAACAACAAAACCATCAGAGTGGAGGTCAGAGCAGAAGCCGGGCAGGTGACTCTGTGAGGTAGATATTGGGTGGAATTGTTCTAGCTGGCAATCTGTTCTCCTCCAGTTACCTGAACATCAAATATTGGGCAATTGGAGATTAGATTATTTCTATATCCCGTTTGGTTGTGGAAATCACGCATTTAGACTGGCATCAGGCCCAGAAAGGTCTACAGGTAACTGGCATTCGCTGTGATGACCTGGCAGTAATAACAAAATTCATATAGTAATAAATATTACCTATTAAAACGATTTAGACTGTTGGGAGAATTTTGCAAGACAATGGAACCAACAAGGACCCATGAACCCTTAAGAATCAACTACTTAGGAAAAAGAGGAATAAAATAAGTCATGTGAAGGGAAATCATTAATAACGTTCAAAAATCCTCGAGGGAGTATTTAATTTAGCAAGACACTGCTTGGAACATTTGGTTTCGAGATGAGAAATAATGTAAAGATTGGAAAGCATAAGAGGAGAAAATAGGCCCATCTGGGAATGAAGAAGTATTGCTACAGGCTCCCGTGGCACCCAGGCTGGGACTGCTCCCCTGGGATGATTTAGTGATGGCACAGAGTGAAATCTCCAGGGTCACAGCTAGCACCCAGCACGAGGATGATGAAGGCTACAGTGGTGGGCGTGAGCAACGAGGAAGTCAGTAGAAGCTGTGCACGTATGGAAAGTGGTGGATGAACTGCATGAAATAGATATTAGGAAGAAATAGTCTCAACTTCATATAGCTATATCTGCTTTAAAAACTTCCTATATAGCCGGGCGCGGTGGCTCACGCCTGTAATCCTAGCACTCTGGGAGGCCGAGGCGGGTGGATTGTTTGAGCTCAGGAGTTCGAGACCAGCCTGAGCAAGAGCGAGACCCCATCTCTACCAAAAATAGAAAGAAATTAATTGGGCAGCTAAAAATATATAGAAAAAAATTAGCCGGGCATGGTGGCGCATGCCTGTAGTCCCAGCTACTTGGGAGGCTGAGGCAGAAGGATCGCTTGAGCCCAGGAGTCTGAGGTTGCTGTGAGCTAGGCTGACGCCATGGCACTCACTCTAGCCAGAGCAACAAAGTGAGACTCTGTCTCAAAAAAAACAAACAAACAAAAAAAAAAACTTCCTATATAGTAAGGTGAGGTATAAACTAATGGATTAATAAAAATACTGAGCTGATCATGAGTTAAAAGGTGCAAGCTAGGAAGGGGATTGAAGTGTGAGCTGCTGTACAAAGATATGTGAGCCACGTGTTAGGGTAACAAGGAAGAGTGGCTACTCTGTTCTTCCTGCCCACTATTTTTTCGTCATTTCCTTGTCCTGCACAGAGAGAGAGAGGATGAGAATATGCAAGGGCGTGTGTGTGCATGTGTGAATCTGTACAAAATTGCCTAACAATCGTGTGCTGACCACGTTCCAGTGGCCACACCCTGGCCCCTGTCAATGCTTACAACAACGTTATCTGTAAGATCTTCAACTCCAAATATTTCACTCTCAGACCAGAATGTTTCATATTCACCTTTTTCCACTGCTCTGATCCACCAAAACTGTTTTTCTGCTTCATCAAGGTCTCCCTTCCTAATTCTCCCAACTATCAGGAGGCTGTTTTTCCTTCCCTTCCAGCCCAGCACGGACCACACGGCTGTTCGAACAAATCACAACCCTACAACATACTTCCTCTGTCCCACTCCTGGGTTAGCAAACGATGCTGGAGAAAAACCATGCGAAACTCACAAGACGGGAGCTCCCCAAACTGCCCTGTTTCCCTCACGCAGAATAGACTTTTTTTTCTCTTAATCTCAAAAGACTGATCATATCTTGTTCCTTTTTGTTTCTCAATAATTTGCCTCTTTTTGGTGAACTTCACAGCTTAAGGAGTTATTGTGAATATAGTATGAATAGTTAATTGGACAAGACAGGGTGCAAGGACGGCGGGAAGTTGTTGGGGACTTTACGGGGTCATGACAATGGCAGTGGAGAGAAATGAGTGACTTTGAAAGATGCATGTGAGCAGCCGAGTCACACGGATGTGATATTAGTTGGGTGGAGCGAAGGGGAGTGATGGCGTCTGTTACTGATACAGGAAAATACATGGGGGAAACCCGTGTCTGGATAGAAAAAATATTAAAAGTTCATTTGGAATATATGAAGTTTGAGTGGCCGCGAGACTTATGGATGTCCCCCGAGAGGGCTGTCGCAGCGGGGAGCTGACGGCCCACAAAGCCTGGAGTGAGCTGGATGGAATTTAAGCCTCGGGGTAGTGAGGCCAGACAGCAACTGTTTAAAGAAAGTTGGCTATGGAGGGAGGAAAAGGGGTCAAAGTGGCGTCTTTCTGCGTTTTGAAAAACGTGGAAGGCATGTGTTTAAATAATGATGGGAAGCAATCCTTAGGAAATGAGAGATGAAGGACAAAGTCAGGAGAGAGAGGTAGTGCGTGGGGGTAGAAGTACTGATGTGTGAGATCGCAGTTTTCTTTTTCTTCTGTTTGGATAATCACGTGATCTGGGGCCATTCACTGAATAGTTATTTAGTCCCCAAATATCCCTTGAATTTGTTCCTTCCCCCGATCCTTACCTTTCATTCCACCCTCAACACCTCTAGCGCCCTCTGTCTGTTCTCTCTGCAGTCCTACACTATATACTGCTGTAAAAGTTACCTTTCTAAAATACAAATATGATTTGCATTTCTCTAATGATTAGAGATGTTGAGCATTTTTTTATATGTTTGCTGGCCATTATTCTGTCTTCTTTTGAAAAGTTTCTGTTCATTTCCTTTGCCCATTTTTTGATGGAGTTGTTTGATTTTTTTTTCTGTTGATTTTTTTGAGTTCTATATGTTCACGATGGAATATTACTCAATCATAAGAAACGACAGTGATCTAGAACCTCTTATACTTTCCTGGATTAAACTTAAGCCCATTATCTAAAGTGAGGCACCACAAGAGCAGAAGAATGGGATCCACTTGTACTCGCCATCAAATTGGTACTAAATGAGCAACACTAGGGAGATCACATGGCAGAAATACTCTCCAGGGATTAGGGGGATGGCGGGGTAAACCCGCAACTAAAGGACACGGGGAGCACTGTAGGGGGGAAGGGCATGCCTTTAACCTGCACTTGGGTGAGGCAAAGACATAAAGTGTAACCGTAATGTTTGTACCCTCACAATACCCTGGAATAAAAAATAAAAAATAAAATAAAATACAAATGTGACCATGCCACTGCCCTGATTAAAGAGCTTAAATAACCTCTTTTTATCACCTACAGAATAAAAGCCAAACTCCTAAGCCTGGCATATTTAAGACGTTTCGCAATATTTCTCTTTATATGATTTCTTTGCTTATCAAATCATCCTCATTTGCTGGCATTATCCACATGTGTTCTCAAATGCTACTGTATAGAAAAATCTATGATTCAAACTAACTTTTCACAGAACTATTGCTTAGAGTCGTAACTGCTAGATTTTAGAAGTTCTAATTCATTTATTTGATATTTATTTGGCATCTGCTATGTATTAGCCACTGTATTAGAAGTTTCTTTAAGCATTTACGATCTAAAGAAGGACAGAAGGCAGTACCCCAAGTATTTGCTAAAACGGGAAGGATATAAATGTAGCAACAGACATTCGAGTAAACGGCTGTGAGAGTCCCGAAGAGGGAGAAATGGCGTTTTGTTTGATGGACATCAGAGGAGGCTTTGTGGAAAAGGTGGCTGGATCCATCTTGAAAGACACATGAAATTTACTAAGTCAGAGAAGGGGATGGGAGGGCATGTTGGGTGGAGAGGCGGCATCCATAAAGGCAAGAGAAGTGGGGAAGTGTGACCTTGGGGCAGAGCCGAGAGATGAGTGGCTGGAGGGGTACCGAGGCCAGAGTGCACACAGCTTCCAAGGGCAGGTCCATTGATCGGGCTCTGGTTACTCGGCATTGGGGATCAGTGAAAGTCTCTAGAAAAGGACTGATATAATTAGGTTGTGACACGATCAGGTGGATTGGAACTCAGACAGATTGAATCTAGGTGGACGCCCTCATAGCCTAGGCATGGTGTGCTGTTGGCTTGTCCTGGGAAGGGGGAAACGCCAGAAAGAATGCAAGAGAAATGTCAGAAGCAGAACCCACAGAGGTTAGATGCCCAGAGAAAGGGGGAGAGAAATGGGTCTAGCCCAGCTCCAGAAAATAAAAAGGTACGAATTGCACGAGATATCCCTGCAGCTGATGAAGCACCGTTTGTATTTGCATTTGCCTAAATGGAATTGGTGGCTTTTCAAAATGTTTACTAAAATTGTTTTCGTAACTTAACTTTATGTCTGTAGATTAATGGCTTTATTCTTCTCTCCCTTCTCCTCCTCCTTTATGTGTGACAGCTGCTACTGGCTATGGTTGGGTCCCCTGATCAGGAGCTCCAGGAAGCTGCAGCTGGTTGCATATCCAACATCCGCAGGCTGGCTCTTGCTACAGAAAAGGCAAGATACACTTGAAATTGGAACGGACATTCCAAGCTACCAAATTTTACATGACACAGGACATGTCACTCCCATGGCCAGGAAACCTAAATTGGGAAACATGTATTAGCAAGTCCTTCAATCAGTCTAAATGAAAACACACACACTGAAAATGCAAAGGATGCTTTGCATGTGAGAATTACATGGATATTTTTGTTCTATTTAATATTTCAGGTATATGCTAAAATGTAAAGCCGATAAATATGTGATAATTTTCCAAGAGTCTGAGACTGTATGTGTATGGTATATGTATTTCGGTGATGCTTTTGTGTTTGTGGTGATTTTAATAAAGGCTATGACCTTCGAATTGCGCAGTTTCATAGTCGCTCATAAATGTTTCTAGAATTCCCTTTCTGCTAAACCTATCTAACTGTCCTGTCATTACGGCTCTGTCTGTTTGATCGCTTGCAACCCACGAGAGAGTTCCGAGGAGATGTGCTGATTTCACAAACTGCTATTAAATAGAATTTAGACTTAAGCAGCTGGACTTAGAGAGATTATCCTGAGGTCATCCCAGATTTCTTCTAAATACTATCAGACATCTGAGAAGATAATGTAGAACTTTCACCGTAACGGATAATGCAAATCGCAAGAACATAAGCAATGAGTTTTTGCAACTCTTGGACTTACGGAGCATAAACAATTATATGTTTTATTTCCCATAGAGATATACCAACATTTTATTGAAAGAAATTAATTTCTGCTGCTGTGCTTTTACTTCACATAAAATTGCTTTGAATTTCTGAACTTGTTTTCAGCACACGAAGTACTTTTTAAAAAGTGGCTACGAAAGATTAATAGCGTTTTATCAGGTTATAGAAACATCAGAACCCACTTAAAAGAATCACATACGTAACCTCGGTGTGCTGAAATGTTTGGGAACTAACTGTTCTGAGCAGAGCATCGTAATACTAGCCAGAAAAATAGCTTCGTACGTATCAGCTTCATAAACTGACAACCTCAGTTAATGCTATAAAAAGCAATCAGGGACGTTTTATTGAAAAATATTAAGATATTGTATATGTTTGCCATAATTTGAAGATGATCATAAACTTAATTGAAGCAAATGTAAATAATTAGTATGAAATGAAACACTTGTCCGGGAGGAAAACGATTCCAGTGATAGATGTCCCAATAAAAAAAAAATAAAGCACTTCTAAGAATTCAAAGGTTTGGTAAAACACCAGTTCGTTTTCACTGCTTTTCAAAGGAGCTTATGAAAGGGGGTGATATGAACAAGGAAATGGTATTAATGCTAACTAAGAGCTGAATTCAAATAATAGAGGAAATCCTTTAACTTTCAACAGTAGATATTTCTAATGTTAAAGTCATGGTTTAGCTTTGTTTCACTAGCATTAAAAATACATCTAGAAACATCTAGAAATACATCTAGAAACATCTTATAGCTATGGGAAATGAAGAAACATATTATTGTTATATTATTATTAAAGGAAGATTCTATCATTGTCCTCAGATTTTAAAATATTCTCGAATTAGTGGGTCCTGGGAATGAAAGGGCGCAACAGACAAAACAGCACAACAACAAAAAGAACCGTACGAATGTTGGAGGAAAGTTGTTGTTTCTGTAACAAAGTGTTTGATAGAAAGAAACTTGGGGCATCTGTTTTTACGGTTAATAAACGCACAAAACAAAAGCAACAGCGCCATTTTAAAAGAAACTAAGCACTTGAAACAGATGAGAATATTAACGTGAAGATTGTCTCGTACATGTTTCTAAGGAAGAAGTTGTTTTTAATTCATAAACACCGGAAATATAGTACCTTTAGAGTAAACAACGGAGAAGTTGAATTTCAAGGTCAATTTTTGGCTTATTTTTGTGCAATGGCATAATGAAACCTCTACTCTTACTAGAAAAATGTCAAAGCCAGTGAAAACACCCACAGCTTTCAGAGAACACACGGGGTGATCACACCACTGTTTTGCTACCATACACGGTGGGAGAGCTCACCTTTTTTTTCATTAGTTTTTGCGTGAGGTGTTTTGTTATATTTATTTTGTGCTATTTAAGGCTGACGACCTTAATTCTTTATAAGTTTTCAGTAACAAGGTTCTTTTTCTAGGCTTTATTCTCCTCCAGGGTACCCAGGGAGTACCATATGCTCTTTGGAAATGGGTGGCTGTTTCAGCTTGAAAGGGGCTTAAGGTGGAAGGAATTTTAAATAGATATTCTTTGATCTTCCAATCTCTTTAGTTTACAAGGATTCCTTTTAGAAATCCTTGCCATGATCCTTCTACTGTTTGCAGTCAATGTTCTTTTCCTACTATCAGGATGACTTGCACTAAAAATGACTTACTGCTTTTAAAAAATTTTTTTAGTTTCTGAAAGTAAATGCAAAGTTAGTTTTTTTAGGACCTGGAATTGCAAATCCTGTTATTTTGATAGATTTTGGTGTTACCATTTTATATCTCTAAGGCGTTTGCACGGAACTGAGAGACTCTCATTCAAAATTTTTGGAAAATTTATTTCAATTTAGGAAAATGAGAATCTCAGTTGTTAATAAACGGACAACCCAGAACTGTAAGTAAATCCTTTTTCTTTTTTACCTAATTGGGTTAGGTTAACAAGATAAAGAAAATTTTCTAGTCCAGATAATTTAAAATGTTTAATCTCATTTCATGAAGATTTGTGAATGGAATAGGCTATGTTCATTCCTGTAATTCAGTGAAAACAATACGGAAACCCGCATATTTAAGGGCTTTGCTACCTCAAATTCATTAAATGCCCCCCCAAAACCCAATGGATCCACATGTACTTAAGAGTAAAAAGGGGAGCTCACCCTAAACAAGAACGGAGTAGGAAGGGAATCAACGTTTATATGATGCTACTGTATGTAGGCATCGTACTGGGTACTTTGTACTCAAGATCTGATTTAAAATACAGGAGAATTGATAAAATAATACTCTCATATCTTACTAGGTTCTATCTAAATGGGCCAATCATTTTTCAAGGTCAATTTGGCAGTGCATACCAAAAGCATTATAATTTTTGTGCACCTCCTGGATTATGTCCAAGGATTTATCTACAAGCGCGTCTACCACACTATTGTTTATGATGATAAAAATGTTATGATAAGTTTGGTTAATTCAATTATGGTTCAATCACATAATGAAAACATGTTGAAGAAGAATAATTAATGACATAAAAAGCTTTTCAGAATATACTGTTAAATTGAAAAGCTGGTTCTGAAGCAGTATATACAGCGTGAGCAGATTTAAAAAATTATACACACGTAGCTGGTCGCAATGAAAGACAGACCTGACTTAATATACGCCAAAGTATAAGCGAGTGATTATTTTTGAATCATGGAATAAGATTTTTGTTTCCTCTTTTCTTCTCTGTGTCTTCTAATCTATTTCACAGTGAACACTAATGTTTTTTAAAATAAAAACATTCCCAATTAATTTTACTTTTTTATCATTTGGAAACTTCTAAGGCAGACATTCTTCCTATTTCTTAGTACTGGCTTTAAAAGAGAAATCTTCAGTAAAAATGAGATATACAGCACGTACATAAAATAAAAGGTTTTTTGAAAATATGAGAAAAATAGCTCATCTCAGACACCATAAAAATAATCTATAAAATACACATTTGTAATGGCTTTCAACTACAACTAATACTAGTCCAGCAGAATTGAAACAGACTAGACTGGCTCCTGTGTAAATTCTGATCACTTCCTTACTTGGTTTTTGTCCATTAAGCAGCTGAATTTTACCTCGGGAGTATAGAAACACACAAATGAAATAATAACTCACAAGACCACTGATAGATTGTGTCATACAGTATTGTTTCGAGAAGAAAAAGTGATTTTTGGCTGGGCACGGTGGCTCACGCCTGTCATCCTAGCTCTCTGGGAGGCCGAGGCGGGCGGATCGTTTGAGCTCAGGAGTTCGAAACCAGCCTGAGCAAGAGCGAGACCCCGTCTCTACTAAAATTAGAAAGAAATTAATCGGCAACTAAAAATATATAGAAAAAATTAGCCGGGCACGGTGGTGCATGCCTGTAGTCCCAGCTACTCAGGAGGCTGAGGCAGGAGGATCGCTTGAGCCCAGGAGTTTGAGGTTGCTGTGAGCTAGGATGACGCCATGGCACTCTAGCCTGGGCAACACAGTGAGACTCTGTCTCAAAAAAAAAAAAAGAAAAAGTGATTTGACCCATTCATTCGTTTATTCCATTGTAGATACCCAAGATGAATAATTTTGTGATTTCCTAAGTCTCTTTCTATATTTTTCCTGAATAGATCTAATAGAGGTCCACTCCCAACCAAAGTGCGCCAACTAGTAAGTAAATACAGGACAGGTTCATAGACTTCTGTTCTCCCTTAAAGCATCATGTTTTTCTCCGTTGTGCTCTAATTGCTACATCAATTTCCCCTCCCTCCAACATTTGTTTTCCTTCTTTTTCTCCTCCACCTTAATCTCTGTCTCCAGCTTCTACTTCCATTTTCTCAGACAAATGGTTATTACATTTTCTGGCTCTTAAAATATTTTATGCTTCAATTTCTATAAATGCAAGATGCAAAGTTGATATTTCAATATGTTTCTGATGCATAATTGTCGTGGCTGACTTGAAATCATATAACAGATGGAATCCTTACACTGCCAATCCATTATTTTCAAATTTTCAAGTCAAAGTGACTTATTCTGTCAAGATAAAAGGAAGCTTTTCTTTTGCTAGTTCATGTCACCCTGATTTATTGGTTGATTAAAGACATCCTTTATAAATTACATAATTTTCTCATAATGTTCGGAGTTAAGATTTGTCATTACAGTGTAGAATTATGTCCTAATTTATTTTCATGATTGAAAGACACATTCGTGTATATCAGTATGGTTCTTGGAGACACGAAGAATCTGTAACTGATTGGCTTGCTCATAAAGGAAGACTGTGTATATCAAAAGGGAATTCAGACAAAAAAGTATGGATAGTTAAAAGCAAATCCTTTCTCACTGTTAGGAAAAAAACTGACGTTTGCCATCAGATTAGTTACATTAGCAATTACAACTCTAAATGTCCACAAGTACCAGACAAGTAATGTAAATGAGAGAAAAGAGCTAGATACGTTTTTTTGTTTTTTTTTCAAATAGTGATACAATTGCAGATTGACTTTTAGCCTCCAAGTCTGGGACACAAATAGGACTGATGGAGACTGTGGTGAACTGGAGAATACACATAAATTACTACTCATCTTCAGACAATTGTTGGCAGATCTTATAATTACTCAATAGAAACTCATTCTTTATTGTCAATCTCCCAAATTTTAAATATGGCAGCTGTATTAGTCT